TAAGAAGAACATCCATAAACCCTCGTACCAATCCGAAGTTGGATATTGTTAGTGAAGGAGTAATTTGAGGCCGAGTCGACCTGGGTGAGGCCCAAGACCGGTTCATAAAATCGTCACTGGTGTTGGCCGTGAGCGGGAATCGAACTCAGGATGGGTTCGTAGCGCAGCGTAGCGGACCGCTGCCCTGTCGCGATGACATTAATCCTCACAGCATATCCCAGGCCTTCGGTGTTGATGCTTAACTCAGACAGTCTATACCGAGCAGACGACAGTATACGTTGCACGGGGGGGTGGGGAGGGGCTATCGAAGAGAAAATAAAAGAGCCCAGACACAACGTGTGGCACGTGGCAGTTGCCAGAACGATTGCCTTCGTGGCGAATGCGGTGTCAAATCATACACAGCCTGCCCTGACCCCTCCCAAAAGCTTCACCATCCCCGCACTGACCAGCGTGGGAAACGAGGCCTTCATCCAGCAGTGGATTGATGGTGACACGAAAGCAATTATTTTTTAAAGGCACGTGTTTAGAAAAAGTTAGTATAGATAATTATTATTAATGTGTGCTCGGGATACGGTGTACTTTACGTGTCGTTTACGACGGTCGTGTTGGACACAATGCGTCTTTAGACACCGCGAACGATGATCATGATAATTGTTTTTTTACCCTTCTGTCTGGCAACAAAACTGACACCTTTTTACAAGGAGTCATGTTTGCATAGACCACAATACCTGCAATCATAATGCAAACAAAAAACAAAAAAAATTGCGCCTTTTGGCGTCATCTGGTCCAACACCATGTGAGACTAGGCTCTAAGGAAAGCTGTCTCGGGTGTGGACCAATCAACTTCAAGGACAGTGCATACATTATCAGAGTTGTGTGTTTTGTTTGCATTATGACTGCAGGTATTGTGGTCTTTGCAAACATGACTCCTTGTAAAAAGGTGTCAGTTTTGTTGCCAGCCAGAAGGGTAAAAAAACAATTATCATATTTTTACTGGCAAATGAGGTTCCAATGGATGATCATCATGTCTGCAGCACGGATGACTCGAGTGCGTATTGCGCTTGGAGAGCGGTGGCGCAGCGGTTAGCGAACTGCGCCACAAACTCAGCCCTCCCCTTCGGTCCGGGAAATCCCCCCCTCAAGCCTCCCCCCCGTTACCCCCCCACATCCCAACTCCCACCCCCCTCTTCGTATCCCAGAGCGTGTAGCCCGCGGATTCGCGAGTCTCCACGCAGTTGCACCGCCTACGCACGCTGTATGGACATCCGCCATTGTCAGGAAATAACACTGCAACTTAGAATCCGATTTTTTTGTTTGTTTTAATTTATCCCGGAGAAGGGAGTGTGATGTATCTCTGTATGTTGAACTTCTTTCGCACCGTACGCAGCCGACCGCGCTAATCGGAGGTCCTGGGGGAAGGACAACAAACCTAAAGTGATGGAGCTGTGAAGGTTTTCTGTTTTGTCACTGATGTTACAGCAGGGGCAGGTTGGTCGGAAAGTTACATCCACACGTTACAACAACAAACCACAACAACCACAAACCAATAGAGGAGCAATAGGAGTAAGTTAGAGAAAAGTTCAGCAAGTCATTGGTAAAAAAGTAATAAAATATAAACCACGAAGTTCAATATTTAAAGTTCAAAATTTGACCTTCGTGCGTAAATTCCGGCAACCGCCATCTAAAGAGGTTGGCACTGAACAGGGGGAGCGGTGGTGCAGCGGTTAGCGCTACGCTGCGCTACGAACCTGGCGACCCGGGTTCGATTCCCGCTCACGGCCAACACCAGTGACGTTAATCTGAACCGGTCCTGGGCCTCACCTAGGTCGACTCAGCCTCAAACGAGTACCTGGTGTGATGTCTGAGCATCGCCACTGGGGAGACAAAGGCGGCCGGGCGTGGTGTTGGCCACCCACCCCTTCGTGTGCCGTGCAGGCATTCATAGGTGCTCGCAAACAGCACTTGCCAAAAGAGTCTGTGACAGGCTACACGGGGGATCTTTGTCTTTTTTGTATATGTAGCGAGCACCTATGGTGGTGCTGGCTAACAGAACTTGCCCCAACAGTCTGTTAAGGCTATCGCGGGGATCTTTGTCTTTGTATATATATGGTTTATATATATTGGTGTATTTTAGTGGACAGAGTTGAACACACTATGAGACCTCCTTTACCAGTGGCAAAATATAGTAGTAGGTTTTTACCCTTTCAACTGGTACAAAAACTGACACCTTTATACAAGGGATCATGTTTGCAATAACCACAACACAAGCAGTTAAAATGCAAACAAAAAGAAACAACTCTGATAATGATATGCACTGTCCTTGAAGTTGATTGGTATGCATTTTTACTGCTTGTGTTGTGGTTATTGCAAACATGATCCCTTGTATAAAGGTGTCAGTTTTGTACCAATTGAAAGGGTAAAAACCTATCACTAGAGTTGAACACGTCGTGGGCTATCGCGACCAATATTATTCAGGACAGATTCAATTTTTTGGGGTTAGCTCGCGTCAATATAAATGTCTCGTTAATCCCGCCACCACCCAACATAGCCAATTAGTGGGGTTCCTGACGTCAACAAAGCATGCCAATTAGTTCAGTGCACCGAAAACGGAGGATTTCTCCACAATGCCGGCTGTCGCCTGATGTTGATGACGGTTGTTGTAATTAAGCGCGAAACGTCACGGTGGGTTACTCTCCAACACACCGGCGTGCTGAACTAGTGACCGACCAATCAGCGCTCTCTGTTTACGTGACACAACTTTACTAACTGGCTGTGTGTCGGGTGGTGGCGGGTTTAAAGACGACCCCTCTTATGGTTCGTGGAGAGAGAGCCATAGGAGAGGAGAGAGAAAAGAGAGTGTCAGATGACATGGGAGTGAGAGTCATAGGCAGAGGGGGGAGAGGTAGACCTTGAACAGGGGGGGCAGAGAGTTGACATGGCTGTGTGGGGGGGGAGGGGAGTTAGAACTCCAAGTCATGACAGCAGCACATGAGAAAATAACAATCTCTAACGAAACGTTACGATTGCGTAAAAAAAAAACTTTGGCCCAGAATCTCCCAGCCTCTCCCCCCCACATCTTTTCACGAGGGTCCCCGCCGCAATTTTGGATGTCCTTGGCCCGTTACGTGAACGAAATTTTGGCTTCGTGCGAGAGGAGTAGGAATAACTAAACCGTGAGAGCTCCCACAGAACAAACCCCGCGCGCGCGTTGCGCACGAGTGAGAGACGACACTGGGCACGGGCCGTCTCCCGTAGCCCCCACAACTACTACAACAACCTGGTAAGCCGTCGTAGGGTGGCTCCAACCCATCAACCGTATCAAGCAGGCTTCGAGAGCACTGCCGATTTAAACATTTCAGGTTACCGGCAGTGGACTGGCAACGGCGTGGATTTCTAATTTGTGTATTTACTTGAAATCACGTCTTTTTTTTTTAGCGCTGGCTCGGGTGAAGGACAAACGCGAAGCGGTCAGCAACAAACGGCACTCTTGAAGTTGTCATCGTGAATGCGGTTCATGGTGACGATGCATGACGACGCAAAAGTTAAAACAACTCAAAAGAAGAAGAGTTTTTTTTGCTATAAACAATGTCTCTGTATAGACATACTCTTAGTTATTTCGGTAAAGTCACGTAGGTAAAAAATGAAATTAAAATTAATAAAAAATATATTTATTATTTTATTTTATTAATTTTAATTTCATTTTTTTACCTACGTGACTTTACCGAAAGAAGTAAGAGTATGAATTCTTGCAGTCACGAAAGCTTCAAATCTAGAATCTGTATAGACAGTCATCTGCAAGGTGAACTTTAACTTAGTTCTTATTTCGAAAGAGTGAGCACGCGAATTCACCTGTCCGTAGCGTTGCATAATGCCCTACAAAATAAACCGCGCGATGCGTTATTGCTCGCATTAATCTGGGGATCATCTCTCGCTGCGTACCTAATTCTACAGCAAGCAAGAACTCGGGATGGATGGAGGAGGGGTGGCGCAGTGGTTAGCAGCACTGCGCTGTGAAATCTGGCAAATCGGAGTTCACTAAACCGCACCCGACCACCGTGATCGACCACTGTACGACCAATCGCCTTCCATGACCGACACGGCCTGTGGAGGCCTTCGTCCGGCAGCGGAGTGACTCGGAGCTGTTGATTGTCGCATTCTCCGGATTACGATGAGAAGGACCGGGCAATCAAGAACGAGCCCGGAACACGTGTCCGGTGTAAATAAAAGCTCCCTAATTAAATCTGGACACGCACACATAGGCCATTATAATAGGCAACCCCCCCCCCCTCACCACCCCACTGTAATAAAAAAAAAACATTATATTATTTATTTGTGTAAGAGACAATCCTCAATTCCACTTGGTTTGATGTAAAACTCGCTTCCCGTGTGCGTAACACTCACCCTACCCCCCCCCGGTGCCCCCCTCCCCGGAGCCCCCCCTCGGTGCCCCCCCTGGTGCCCCCGCCCCCCGGTGCCCACCCACCAACTCTTCGACCTCCCCCGCACCCCCCCACCTCCATTGACAATAACCAACCAACACGGCCCACAACAATGAGCACCACCACCACAACTGCCAGAACCCCCCGCCCGCCCCCACCTCTCTCCATCGCCAGGAGCAGCCCAAGCGCCCATCCCACCCATCCTTCGCAGCACGCGGCTCACGCGCAACCACGCACGAACACACCCCGCTAAAGACAAAGATCCCCCGTGTAGCCTCTAACAGACCGCTGGGGGCAAGTGCTGTTAGCGAGTGGCGCCTGTGATTCTATGAAGGCCGGCGCAGTGTAGCAACCACGCCCTTAGTCTCCCGTGAATGCTTCCTGAACACACCGACACCAGGTACTACTCATTTGAGGCTGAGTCGACCTAGGGGAGGCCCAGGACCGGTTCAGACATCCCTCGCCGGTGTTGGCGGTGTGCGGTTCCGTTCTTTTTTTATCGCAGCCTGCTCACCACTGCACCACCGCTCCTTCACCCCCCACCCCCACACTCTCACACAGGACCTCGCAACCGCAAGGCCAAGAAGAAAGGAGGAGGCGGAGGTGGAGGAGGAGGTGGAGGGGCAGGAGGAGGATCGGGTGGAGCAGCAACAGCAGCAGCAGGAGCAGGAGGAGGCTCGGGAGGAGAAGAAAAGCGGCCACGGACCGCATTCTCGGCCGAGCAACTCTCTCGTCTCAAGTCCGAGTTCCAGGCGTCTCGCTATCTGACCGAGGCGCGGCGCCAAGCCCTCGCCCAGGAACTGCAGCTGAACGAGGCACAGATCAAGATCTGGTTCCAGAACAAGCGCGCCAAGCTGAAGAAGGCGAGCGGAGTGCGAAACCCGCTCGCCCTGCAGCTGATGGCGCAGGGCCTCTACAACCACGCGGGCGAGAGGTCGCGCTCCGATAAGACTGACAGCGAGTGAGATCTGGGGGGGGGGGGGGGGGGCGCCTCGGGAGAGGACATCGCAAAACTTTGGCTTCCACGTGTGCCGCGCCTGTGTGGTGCACTGCGCCGCGTGGGTTGCGTTGTGTCTGTTGCGTCTGGGTGTTTGTGGCCACGCCGTCACCCGCTTGCCCGCCTACACATCCGGCGATCTTTGTATCGCGTCAATAACACTGTGGCCTTAGACGTTCATTAGCAGGCGACGTTTCTGAAATTGGCACCTCGTGGTGCCTAGGCCCGTAACATCGGCTGTTCGATTTACGTACGCGCGCGCGTGTGTGTTTACTCTTAAGGCCGCCACACGCAGTGTCATTGACGATTGTGTTGATGTGTTGTTGTTGTTGTCGTCGTCGTTTGTGCTTGTGCACCCAACTGCCAATGCAGCAGCAGCAGCGTCGCCAAACACGTCTCAGCCGGCGATCTGTGTCCTCTTCGCGAGGCGCCACAGAGAGGCGAGAGACGGACGGACGCGGTCACGGGCCGGTGGATCTGAACATAATAATGGGCTATAAATGTATCACAACGCACACGCACGCTTGCGTGAATACACACGCGAACACGCGCGCGCGCACACACACACACGTGGACACATCTAAAGGCCCGTGCCCCCCGTATAGGCTACACGGGCTATTGGGGCAAGTGCTTTTAGCGGGCACGTGTGAACGCCAACACCGGCGCACGAGGTGGTGGGTGAACAGCGCCACGCCCGGCCGCATTTGTCTCCCCCCCCCCACTCCGCCCCTCCCCCTCTCCAATTCTCATGTTTACACACCGCACCAGGTACTCGTTTAAAGCTGAGTCGACCTAGGAGAAGCCCTGCACGGGTTCAGGATTTTCGTCACCGATTTTGGCCGTGAGCGGGAATCGAACTCGCATTCCTACCTAGTTTCGCAGCGCTGCGCTAACCACGGAACTACCGCTCACCGTCATGCGCGCGCGCACACACGAACACACGTGTGTACACACGTGTGTAATATGCACGTGTACTTATCACAGGCATACTGTATTTACGACAAAAAACAAAGATCCCCCGTATAGCCTGTAACAAGACTGTTGGTGCAAGTGCTGTTAGCGAGCACCTATGAAGGCCGGCACGGCACACGAGGGGGTGGGTGGCCAGCACCACGCCCGGCCGCCTTTGTCTCCCCAGTGGCGATGTTTACTACACACCGCACCAGGTACTCATTTGAGGATGAGTCGACCTAGGGGAGGCCCAGGACCGGTTTAGATAATCGTCACCGGTGTTGGCCGTGAGCGGGAATCGAACTCGGGTCGCCAGGTTCATAGCGCAGCGTAGCGCTAACCGCTACACTACCACTCCACACACGCTGAAAACACACACACATACCCCACTACACACACACACCACTACACACACGCGCGCGCGCGTATATATGAGTGCACGTTTTCGTGTACGTATGTCCTGTGCTCGTCTAAGTGCAAGTGCCAAACTTTTTTTTTGCTTTCACAAAATAATAACTCACCGGCAATACCCGCCTCCGTGGGCATGACCGCAATCTTTTGCTCACGCACACAAATGTGGGCGGGTGGGGGAGCAATCCCTGCGATTCAAGAGGGATCCGGTCCGTTCCCTCCGCCCGACGATTCCAATTTCTGGCGTCACCGACTCTGCCACCCTCGACGGCGTTCCCGTGAGCCGGCCTTCTCTCGCGAGGCATCGCTGTTGGCCTCCGCGTTTGTAACCCCCTGCAGAGCCGACGGTGGAAATTCCACATTCGTACGGCGGGGGGGGGGCGAATCTATCCACGCCACGACCACGGTTGACGTCCACACAATGTGGTACCAATTGTATCGACCCCCGTCCCCCGTCCCCCCGATGGATGATGGGTTGAACCAGCCCCACCATCCCACGCTCGCAACCTTCCGGTTGAGAGTCTCTCGATCTACTGCTGAGTAGGCCCCTACCCGGCCCTGCTATTAATAACACCCCCATGTTGATAATTGGGGGGGGGGGGTGTTCTTCGACCATACTTCCCCGTTAATTGTCAGCGTTGATTGGAGAGGGAGCGGAGGAGGCGGGGGGCCTTGTGACCGGTTCAGCTACCGCTCGTCCACTGGTGTTATATACGTGGCCCAGGAATCGCATGTATATATATGTACTTACAATTAAAAAATAGCAAGGACAGCAACAGCGTATCTGCTGACCGCTTAATGCAAGCGGTGGTAAGACAGGCGAACGCAGGTGACCTTTTACATTTGACTTGTGGACGCACTACGCTCGCAACGTGGAGGCGAAATGTGCAGCCACTGGTTTATCTGTTGCGGCACTGCCTTAAAAACCAAAATATATATAGAGAGAGAGTACGTGTGATTTGTTAGAGCAATGTGGACCCTTGCTTGCGAAGCTGAGAGAGGGCCGTGCCACGTTTTGCCACGGGTTGAAGTACAAGCAGCAGGAGAACGCTGGGCATTATTTTCATGACTATGATGGAGAGATATCTCCCACCAATCCTGCACCCCGCGCGTGACCCCAGACCAGTTCAAACGTCACCAAGTCTCCCGTCAGAAAGTAACCACGTGGTTCTTAAAACACACGAGTCCCCTTCACCAGCAACTCACCAGATATGTTGTTGGTTTTTGTTGTTGTTGTTGTTGTTGCTGTTGCGTTTTTGTTACACGGATGAACTCCGTTTAGCCAGTTGCCCGGCTATTTTTTTTTCACGGGAGAGATTCCGTGGTGGGTAAGATCGGCCACTACTAAAACATTGTCTCTTTTGATGCAGAAGAGTGGTCGAGTAGTGACGTATTTTGTTGTTGTTGTTGTCTTTTCCTTATAACAACAGTTGCTGAACAGCAGGGGGCACAAATAGGACAAATAAAACACAGCAACTGCTATCAAAGGGTGGACGTATGTATACGTATATTGAATCGAGCAAGGTTGTGGTTAGACGATCTTTGCGGAATTAAAAAAAGAGATGGGAGAATTCCAAAGTAGCGGCAGTGCGGAGGGAGTTGTGTGACCTGAAGTGGTAGTGGTGGCGTTTGAACAACGGAATCAGAATCAGAGATATGTGTTTATACTGCACGAGGAATCCAATGAGCTACACAGCTTTATTTTTCACAAATGTCCAGTCGGGGTCAAGGGGTCAGAACGTTTCAACAACAAACAAATACAGAGGCACGAGAGGAGTGCAGGGTACAGGAATGGTAAACGAATCACGAAACAAAGTACAACATCAAACTAAACTCTTTTATATTCTTGGTTCTTTCGGTAAAGTCACGTAGAAGGGAAACAATAAAATAATAAAAATATAAAACCAAAAAATTCTCACGACGTTTAACAAACACGCAGTCGAAACGTCGCGAGAATTATTTTTTATTATTTCCCTTCTACGTGACTTTACCGAAAGAACCAATGATATGAATCCCTGCAGTCACGAAAGCTTTAAATCAAAATGTAAACTCTTTAACTTCAGCAGGGAAAGCTCGCAGAGCCATTTGCTTCTTCCTCCTCTTCAGAGGCGACCTGACCACAGACGATGCCCTCGAGGAAGTGGCTCGTCACGTGGAAGATTTTTAAGCGGCCAAATATTCTCAATAATCTCGGCGCATGTTGAGTGCGGGTGGGCCTCGGTCCGGCAGGATCTTTACTCGACTCGGGCGAAGGTTGCCGGTGGGTGAGGTTCACGGAAAACGGTAACCGTGGTTAGTAGCGATAGTCGAGTGATAAGGGAGCGTTTGTGTAAAAAAACCCAACATGTTGATGTTTCTCTGTTGATTTGACTGGACGCAGGAAATCCTCGTCAAAGCTTTGGAGTCCGAGCGAACTTTATGGACAATGTGGTCGCTTTAAATCAGCACCTCCGATTTAGCCACGTTTGGCTGCGTACGGTGCGAAAGAAGTTCAACGTACATACAAGACACGCTCAATGGAGGGCGTGTTGAAGTCGCGTATTTCCCGACACACACACGCACACGACAGCCTCCATTCGCCACTAAGTGGCGGTGACGTCACAGCGGCGCTTGTGCCAAGCTAGGTGCACTCTGAGGTCACGTGACATATCGAAGGCTCGCCTTGCAAGGAGGTCACGGGACCGAGACCCGGGTGATAATGGGTTGACTGACTGAGATGACCGACAGATGCACACACGCACACACACACGCAGACAAATACAAACATGGATATATGTGCAGCTGACGTCAGTGGTGGGGTCAATGTGTACGTTTGTACGTACACACACGTGTGTATGTGTGTGTTCATATGCTAGTGATGACCAAAACATCTGAAGACACGAGTTATTTACTCATCGCTGTACATTTCAACGGCAAAAATGATACACGCGGTACAAAAAAATATACATAATATTTGGCCAGTGATGAATATGGTTCACTCGTTACTTGCAACGGTAATAACCCCCTTGTCTAATACGGACACGCAGAGCCCCTGTTTTTTTTATATTTGTTTTGTAAATCCATGCCGCACCACGCTGGTGAGCGTGGGTTGACGACGGCTGTACGCAATTACAGAATCTTGGTTGAAAGCCACTACCAAGGGACAGCCATACCCCGATTTACGTCCCCCCCACCCCACCCCCCTTAGCGTCGTTTCGCAAATACGTTGTCGCTTTGTTATGAACACCGCGAAACCGAATTGGGTCGACTCAGCCCCACGCTGACGTCGCTAGGCAGCAGCAGCAGCAGCATCATCGTCCGTTCGTTCTCGTTATCAGTCGCCCCGCAGCCTTCGCCTCCACCATCACCCACCACTACCACCACTACTACTATCCCGTAACTCGCTTTGGATTTACGTCGTTTCGACGTTCGTCGTCACGCCTTTCGGGAACGCATCCCCCGACGTAAACCGGGGTATTGTTTCGATTGAAAGCTTTCGTGACTGCAGGGACTCGTCTTCTTGGTTCTTTCGGTAAAGTCACGTAGAAGGGAAGTAATAAAATAATAAAAAATAAACATAATAAAATAATTCTCACGACGTTTCGGCCACAACGCAAGCAGCCGTCCTCAGGTGAAGAATGTAGAGGGGAAGTAATAAAATAATAAAAATTAAACGTAATAAAATAATTCTCCACCTGAGGACGGCTGCTTGCGTTGTGGCCGAAACGTCGTGAGAATTATTTTATTATGTTTTATTTTTATTATTTTATTACTTCCATTCTACGTGACTTTACCGAAAGAACCAAGAAGACGGGTTTTTTTTGGGGGGGGGGGGGGGGACAGCTCTCCCACTGCCACAGTACTCCGTAGAAACCTTCCCACGTTCACTGCAGATGGTGAAGTATGGGAATGTGCATGTTTACACACACACACGTTCATGTACACACAAATACATATAGAGGGGAGGGCGGGAGGGGAGTGATGCTTGTCGGAGTTTGAAGCACCCTTGCCGCTCGGATCCGTTACTCGAGGGGGCACACTCTCTAGAACTGGCGACAGTCTTTTCTCGTCTGCATCAGTCATGCTCGATCCACTGCTAGATCCAATGATTCTAGATTTGAAGCTTTCGTGACTGCAAGGATTCATAGTCTTAGGTTTTTTCGGTAAAGTCACGTAGGTAAAAAATTAAAATTAATAAAAGTAAAATAAAATAAAAATCACGACGTTTCGGAGGCAACACAAGCTTCCGTCTTCAGGTGGAACCGTCACAGCCACGACAGCTGTATCAAGTAAATGAGAGATTACAAGAGCTACCACTCCGTATATATAATGGTTGAAGAGGGGAAGGGCCAAGTACGGCACAATTTTTATTATATATATGGAGTGGTAGCTCCTGCAATCTCTCATTTACTTGATACAGCTGTCGTGGCTGTGACGGTTCCACCTGAAGACGGAAGCTTGTGTTGCCTCCGAAACGTCGTGATTTTTATTTTATTTTACTTTTATTAATTTAATTTTTTTACCTACGTGACTTTACCGAAAAAAACTAAGAATATAGATCCAATGACTCACACGAGCCGAGCAAACGAACCGGGGTTGTTGTTGTTGTTGTTTTTATATGGCTCCATTTTCACGGTGGAAACGTTACTCCCCGGATGCCGCTCCCGCCGCGAAGCTTTTGAAACGTCGATGAATCGATCACTCCACGCGTCGCTTCACCCCGCAGAGGGCGGCGCCTCCGATGAGCGCGGTTGTGGCTACGTACGGTGCGAAAAAAGTTCAGCGGAGGTCAAACCGCACGTTCCCGAACAGTTTGAACGTTTCGATTTAAAGCTTTCGTGACTGCAGGGATTCATCTTCTTGGTTCTTTCGGTAAAGTCACGTAGAATGGAAATAATAAAATAATAAAATAAAACTTAATAAAATAATTCTCACGACGTTTCGGCCACAACGCTGTATCCCCGACAGACCTGGTCTTGTTATGTTCTTTTTTATTATTTTATTATTTCCATTCGACGTGACTTTACCGAAAGAACCAAGAAGTTTGAACGTTGTCAGAACTGTACGGAATAGCGCGCGGGCGTTCTAGAATCCACGCGCTCGTCGTTCTGCCATGCGCAGTAATAATAATGATGATGATGATTCCAGGGACAAATATGATATTTTAATTGGCTTCGACGGGCCGTACATTCACTTCTGTCCCGTGCAAGATTTGTTTAAAAAAAATTAGTTTAATGTGCGGTCAATGGAATTTAACCGAGCACACTGAAAAAACAACATCGAAACGCAACACTGTGGCGTTACATCCAGTTCGAAATTACTACCCCTCCCCTCCCCCTCTAGTATCCAATTAGTGCGGCTATGATGCTCGGTAGCGGCGGATGAGTATCGTCTCGGGGAACGCCGATTTCGATGGTGCAAAGGCCGCGCCATGCGGAGTTCGTGTGCCATACGCGAGGTCTCGGGGCCGTGTCTGTCCCGCGATTCTTAAACCCTTCCACCACCACCACCCCCCATGACTACTCTCCCCACCCTCACCCCACCACCACCACACTGACGCTGTATTACACATCGTTGCGTGTGCGATGAGTCGACGGTAGCTTAACTCTTTGACGACTGAGAGCACCACCACCACCAGCAGCACCAGCAGCAGCAACGCGCTGTGTACGTGTTGTATTGTACATTATAAATATATTGGTATTATACATAGGCTACTATACATAGACGTGCATATATAAAGGTGAGTATGTAGTTTAGAAGCTACGAGAGTGTGGTGCCTTGCAGTGCGAGCGAACGCGCGATCTTAAACACCAGCAGTAGCATGAAAACACAAACAAAACGACGAGCCCCCTTCCAATGGTGGAAAATCGGCGAAAAAATTGCACTGCGCGGACACTGTAATAGCAGCTGTCTCAAGCATGCGTGTCACTCGAGACGACACAGACAAAGATCCCCCGCATAGCCTCAACACAGACTGTTGGGGCAAGTGCTGTTAGCGAGCGGCGCCTAGAAACGACACGCGTGTGTGAGTGTGTGTGTCGTGGATGGTCCGTTACACACTCGTCCAAGTGTTTACACACACGTGTGTGTATCTAACCATACACACGCGTATGTGTGCGTGTGCTCACATGCATGTGCGTGGTCAGCTACACACACATACACACATCGATGTCTTCACATACGCGTGTGTATTGTCAGCTACACACAAGTATATGTATGTGTGTCTCTGCATGGTCAGCTATACACATGTGTGTGCATGTGTGTGCATTCACATACAAAGATACCCCCCCCCCCCATAGCCTAAACAGACTGTAGGGGCAAGTGCTGTTAGCGAGCACCTATGAAGGCCGGCACGGCACACGAGGGGTGGGTGGCCAGCACCATGCAACAAAGGTCACCCGTATAGCCTGTAACAGACTGTTGGGGCAAGTGCTGGTAGCGACATTCACCTATAAAGGCCGGCACGGCACACGAGGGGGCGAGTGGCCAACACCACTCCCGACCGCCTTTGCATCCCTCGTGCGAATGTTAAACACGCCGCGCCGTGGTTACTCATTTAAGGCTAAGTCGACCAAGTGGAAGCCCAGCACCGGTTCGGGTATATTGGCCACTGACGTTAGCCGCGAGCGGAAGTCGAACCAAGGTCGTCGGAGTTATGCTACCTTATCCACTACGCTCACAGCACTTGCCACCACTCTCAACAGCCTGGAGTATGTCTACGCGGGGAACGTTGCCTTGTAATTGTTCATATACGTATACGGTACGGTATATATATGGCCAAACACACACACGTGTGTATACGTGTGTGTGTGTGTTTGTAGTGCACCCATGTATGTGGGGAGCGGTGGTGTTGCGGTCAGCGCGCTGCGCTACGAACCCGGCGACCCGAG